AAAAAAAAATAACGAACAACAACACGTGTTATTATAGTTTCGCTTTTCTACTAGTTGATTCATTTGTTCGAATACATTGTATTATTATAGATAAACTTCTTGAATTCTCCATTGATTGTTTGGTCTCATTGTTTAAATCAGAAATATGTTGCTCGGTAATATTCGAGAAGATCTTCATCCGAACTGTCGAACAAGTCGTAGTACACCTCATTTAACACGATCATTTTCAATAAAAGATACAATAACAACCCCTCTCACATCATCATCAACAAGTATTCGAACTTCAATTGAACCACAACAAACAATGATGAACTATGCTCGCATGTCATATCGTTATACAACTGTTTGTTAAAATTATCTTACTTATTTTGAATTATTTATTTTTTTTTGCCAATAGGTTACATTACTATCGATGCGTCCACCACCAGATACAACTATTTTTCCTGATCATCTTGTTGAACGACGTTTTCTCGAGTAAGTTTAGAAAGAAAAATGAGATATTTGTTTTGTTTTCAATTATATTTTTAGTGATGAAAATTATATTGATCTGGATCGAATGTTAGCTGAAAAAGGTGGTAAATTTCGATTAGATTCATATGGTATACGTGATGGTGCAGGTGATGGACCTATAATACCAACTAGAATACATAAATATGATTTTTCTGATCCTGTTGTTATTGAAGTAAATCTTTCTTTTTGTTTTGATTAGTATTTAGTTAAAAATATAATTTAGAAAGTTAAAAATCGTCGTCCAAAAGATCCATTAACACCTCATCAAGTAGCTGCATTAACATCAGTTGTAACACGTCATCAATCATCAACATTTCCAACACCATTATCATCACCTCATCAAATTCAATCATCACATGTTTGGATTGATGATTATAGTCATCGACAAGCACAATTTGAAGGTAATAAACATCGATATCATTTACCAACACAATCGTCACTGTCTTATCAAAGACAAAATCCAAATCAATGTGAAATATATACAAATCAAATTAAATCTCTTTTACCTAATTATCAATCAAATAATCAACAAAATACAAATACTGTTCCTATTTTACAACGTTTATTTCAAGCTCAACAACGTCAACAGTGAATTTCTTTCTTTCTTTCTTCAATAAAATTTTTTTTTTTCATTTTATTTATAGAAATGAACAACGAAAAATTGATGTTAGAAATCAACAATCATCACCATACATAAATACTCCGATGTCAACATCAGAACATCGTCAAATAGGTTTATCTGCATTTTGTACACCAACATCACCAGAACAATCAAATTCATATAATACATTTGCATGGCCATTTTCAATGGCTCAAAATCAAAAAGTATCATTCATTTTCTCTTTCCTCTTTACCTTTTTTTTTTTTATTAATTAGCCTGTAACAAATCCATTGCATATACCTATATCAACCCAGACGACTGTAAAAAAGAATCAAGTAATATGTTTTTTCTCAATTATATATTTTAGAAAAAAAAAACTAGTTGCAACTTAGTTCTTGGTGATCAAACATTGCATACCGGTTTCAACTAGAATCAGAATTTTTTACGATTTTCTTGGTTTGTGTCTTGGAACAGCTTCAGCTTAGCATCATTATAGAGTACTAAATTTTGTATAAAATAACATATTATAATAAGCGAGATGTCATCTATGCGTTTCAGTTAAAGAGTTAGCTTCTCTAGAAATAAGTAATAGTTAAAGCTCACTTTTAAAAATACAAAAGTTTTTAACTATCATGAAAAAAAAATAAAAAGTACGCTTTTTCGAGCAAACTAAGACATGTTCGGAAAGAGCGAAAAAGTCTGAATCTAACTAAGTGCTTCTTGCTCTAATCAACTGTCTTTAGGTGAATAAAAAGTGAATGAATATTTTGTCTAAAGACTGTTGCATCACAGATTAATTTGTTAAATGGGTTATGCATAAAAAACTATTGAAAGTAGATATGTTGAATTTTTTCTATTCATGACAGAAATAAAATCAATATCAGGCTAGTTTATTTATTTTTCCATTTATATCTGACTTTTCTATTGTTCTTTATTATTGAATGTCGTTCACATTAACTAAAAACATTCTTTTTTGCTTCCATTTCGTTCAAAATTATCTATATTGACTACTTATTGTAGATTGGAGTGTTGAATTTTATTACAAAATTTAAAGTTTCTATTAGAATGAGTACTTTTGTAAAATGACGTTCAGGAACTCTTACTGCCTGAATTTAAATTTTCGAGAAATTTGCCATATTTATCTTTAAACTTTATTCTACCGAATAAAAGAACTGTTGAAAGTGGTTTAATAGAGTCTCACTTGAAATAAATTTTGATGTATATTTGTTTTTCGAAAAATTTCTCTATTTTATGTATATAAAAGGATGTACTTACTCAATTAATAAATGAACAATTTCGATATTCGGCTACTATGCAAACATCTACAACATCAAATATCGATATTAATGTAGTAAATAATATCAATCGAGATGATAATAATGATGATGATGATGATGAACAAAACTTTTATTCAGCACCACCGTCACGTATGTTTACAAAAAGAAATGAAATCAACTAAAAAAAAGATGTTTCTGCTTTTGAATAACAGCTACTAAACAACAAGATACTTCACGAACTTTATTTAATAATTCAAATAATCTTGAACATACACGTATTTATAATCAAGCAGTTTTATTAAATTCGCTGATACGTAATATGGTGAATGAAAGGGATATAAAAAATTCATCATCCAACGAGTCTTGTTTTTCAAATGATACTCAAGTAATAAAACAATAGTAAAGATTTTATTTTATTAAATATTTTGAATTAATTTTAGTCGACAAATTGTAATCAAGAAGACAATGAAAGTTATACAGAAATGTATAATCTTATTCGTCTTCTTTCTCCTGGTGTTAAAAGTAAATTTATTTAATTCAATAAAATAAAACCATTTTTCTTTATTCGTATTAATTTTAATAGATGTTGCTCAACAAGAATTACTTCAATATCTTGAACAAGGTTGTTTAAATGAACGTAATGAAATGATTCGTTTAGTTGGTTCACTTAATATTAATGAACAAAATTCATTAAAACCAATTCTACTTCGATTAATTAATGAACAATTAGATATTATGAAAAAACAACAACAAATTCAACAAGGTAATTCAACATCAATACCACATCAACATTCTCAAGAAACGCGTTCAACATTAGAAAGTTGGTTTGGTTCTGATATATATACAAATGCATATCCACGTATGCCATCAGGTCGTGTTATATCAGCGTGTGATCTTGAACAATCACGTTTAACAAAATAAACTCAAAAAATTTTGTCGTTCGTTTTGTTTTTATATAGTGTTTTTTTTTCTTTTATCGGTTTTTTTTTGTGTTCGTCTGTTTCGTTTAGTTTCTTTTTCTATGCTATTCCAAATTGATCTGTACAAGTATTTGTCAGATATTCAGAAAATTTGGAATTATGATAGAAGAAAAGAAAAAAGATTGTTATAACTTTCTTTCGTTTATTTTCTTCTTGGTTTGTTTTGATTCTGTGGAAGTAAAAACAAAAACAAAAAAGATATTAGTTAGAAAAAATGAACTATATGTTTCATAGATTAATAAGTATTTTCACGAACTTCTTCATCCAATTTTATTTGATATTAATATGAATATATTTTTAAAGTTTTGAACGACCATTGGAACTTATGGTTTTTGGATATATTCTGTTAATTATAAAGACCATATCTTATCTCTCGATAGCATACATCTAATCGATCGCCTTGTTTTCCGAATATCTCAAAATAGTTTCAAAAGATTGAGTGTTGCGGTTTTCACCAAAATGTAGCCTCGTTTTCATAGTTTATCTACTCAAATGGCGATCGGTTCAATGATCCAAAAGTATGAATTCGTGTCCTGATACATTCAATTTAATGCTAGAAAAGAAAATTCGACCATTACCATATACAAATCTATCATTTTCAATATTTCCTTACAAACCTTTGATTTTGATATTTTAAATTATAATAACTCAAATAGAACGAGCTATGAAGAAAAACTTCCATTATTTTCTCTCATTATTTTACTATTTACAAAAAAAAGATTACAAAAAAACAAGCTATTCTATTAAGCGATAAAAAAGAAGAGCCCCTGGGTATCCAAGCCATAATGCTAAAGTTCCATTATCCATTGAACAAGCATTAATTGGTTGTTCAGGTAACATTTTAACAAATTGCCGTTTGCGTTTTCCAATTCCAACAATTTTATTGTCAATTGGATCAAATATAAGCCATGTTTTCCATAAATACATAATTGAACTTATACCACGTACATCATAAGTATTCGATCGTGTTAAATTTATTTGACGTAAACCCAATAATGTTTCAGCATCATAAAGTGTCATAATAAGATTTGTTAAAGCAATAGCTATACGTTCATCAGATAAACTCATAGCACAAACGCGTGCATTATTACTGATACTACCACCTGAACAATCAATTGATCTAATATGTTTTCTTGTATTATGATCAATACGTGTTAACATACATGAACATTGTCGATCACTAATATAACAATAATAAATACCTAATGAATTTGATTTAGTAAAACGTGTTTGAGACCATATAGCTGGTGATGATTGATAACGAGATGATGATGGTAATAATAATGATGAATTTATTTGTTTTGAATGATAACTTTGATGTTTTATTGATAATGGACGACCACGAAGTTTAATTGAATCAATAATTGATATAAAATCATATATAAATAAACGATTATCTTCTAATGTTGTAACAAGTAGTTTATATAAAAATGAACACCAAAAACATTCAAGAATAGTTGATGTTGATTCTTCTGTTTGTTGCCATGGATAAACACTAATAGAATTTTGATTATTTATTATCATTAAATGACGTGGCATAGCAAGAATAATGTCATCTAAATGACTTGTCAGAGAACATGGTTGACAAAAACTAACTATTGGTAATGTAGACGATATTTTTTGATCAAGTAAATTTTTAACTAAAGGTGTTGTTAATTTTTTTGATTCTAATACAAAAGCTATTTTACGAGTTGGTGGTGTTGATAATGATTCAATGTTAACGATGTTTGTTTGAATTGATTCATCACGAACAGCAATTTGATCTGTTTGAGTATTTACATCTACTTTTAAATGAGGAAGAATTTTATGTTGATCTTTTTCTTTTTCTTCTTGTACTTTTTCTTCATCTTCGTCTGATTCAAATGAAATTGTTGAAGATGTTGAACTACTAGATGAAGATTTTCTTTCATGAACTTCTTCAGTAACTGTTTCTGGTTGTGAAACTATTGGTTGTGGTGGTGGAGGTGGTGATGGTGAATGTGAAGATGATGATTGTGATGATGATGATGATGATGATGATGAACGTGACGATGGTGAATGTGGTAATGATGAACGTGGTACAGTAGTTGGATCTTCCGGTATTTCAGTAGTTTTAACATCATCTGATAGATGTTTTCTTGTAGCAGGAATTGGAGGTGTTTGATCTTCTTCCGAATGTTTTTCAGCACTGGCTACATCATCATCAAAAAATGGATCTCTATTACTACCCATTGTGTTCAATATAATAAGACCATATGTTACTTTTACTCTTCTTATGCTTCTCGACAGACGATATGCATTGCGTTGTTAAGGACAAAATTTCTAACGGCAACTATTCTTTTTCTTCTTTCTCACGACAGAGAATAGGTAAGACGACGAACAAAGAGAAAAAAAAATTGTTGAGAAGAGCAAACAACATCAAAAATCGTCATGTACGATAAAGAAAAGACAGACGAAAGAAAATGAGAAAGAAAGAAACACGCTCAGAATTCTAGATGAAGTGTAAAAACATACAGGATGAAAAAATATGTTCGTTACTTAAAGTTTGAGAGCGATTTACATTTTTTTTGGTTGCAATTCATATTTTTTTGGATATTTTAAATCGAACTTTCAACCTTCAACTTTCTTGTGATATTTGATCATTTGTATTTATTTTACACTTATCGATTATAAATAAATATATTCCTCATTTAGAAAAAAAAGTACACATAGTAGCTTCCAAAATGATTTGAGCTGGTTTATTTTCAATTTTTTTCGCTTGTTGTGTGCAGATTTTATTTTGAACAAGAATTTTCTAAGATGCAAGAGGTTGCTAGGTTTCCCAGGATAGGGTCTTTGAAAAACTGAAACCCAAATTTTGTCATCTGAAATTTTGTTTGAATTACTCAGAATAATAGAGTCAACGATACTTTACAAACTGGAATGCTTCCAGGTCTCTATGACATTTTTTAGCTAAGATACATCAATCTTATACAAGGCATGAAAATGGTGTTTCTATATAACATAGCAAAAAAATGTTGTAGAGATCGGAAAGACGTTTCAGTTTGTAGAAAACTGTTTGATCTATGAGTCTGAATGATTCAAATGGAATTTTAGGAGATGAAAAACTTGAGTTTTGGCTTTTTCAGAGATGTTGTTCTTGGAAACTAGTGATGCCTTTCATCTTAGAAAATTCTTGTTGGAAATAAAACTATAAAAATCACTGTGTGACTTCTTATTAGTATTGACACTAATGGAAAAAATTGAGAGCAAGCCTCATTGAAGAATTTTGAGAACTACCGTATATGAAATATTCAAGATGTTTATGACTTTGAAGTTGATCTTGTATTTAGTTTAGCAAAAGATTTGTTGCCATGGTTCTATAATTTGCATGTTTTTGATGATTAAAATCTAGTACAACGATACTTTAATTATTATTGACTGAATAAAAAAACCATTTTGTAATTGATCTTATTATAACTATACAATACTTGTTTTTATGCTCAAAATAAGATATTTTGTATAATTAACATTTTCTCTTATCCGTTGGGACTCGGACTTGTATATATACAATTTCGAAATTTCACTACAATGACAAGTTTGTACTGCTAGTAGAGGATTTATGTCAAATTAAATTTGTCACTACCAAATTAACAAACTTAAATTAAAAGCTGCACATGATGTGCATTAAGCGAGATGATGGAGTTTTCAGGTATTTGCAGCATATATATGACAGATACGCAGAAGTCAATATTTTAGTACTATTTATTTTTCTTTTTCCGCGATAGTTGGATAGAGTTCGTCGAGTTACATAAAAAAGTATGCTTTAAATCTGAAAACTAATGTTAAATTTTTCATATATTTGAATAGAATGGTGCCGAAAACCTTTTTTCATTAATTTTTTAAAACTATTTGTCAAATTCAAAACTCACCTTTTATTAAGCAACTCGATCAACTGTATCCAACCATCGCAAAAAGACGGAAAATAAATAGTGTCAAAATTTTGACTTCTGGATATCTCACATATATATACTGCAAATACCTAAAATTCATTATCTCGTTCGAAGCATCCCATGGGCTCAAATTTTTTAAATTTGTTCGATTGGCGATGAGAGCTTTAATTTGATCTGAATATGTCTAATGTTCTTTTGTAAGTAAAGAAGCCTCTAGGTACATAAAAGTTGGAATTTTTGTATGGATTTTATTCCGATATGCATGTAGCACATATAGAAGTGGGTGTGGGCATGTGAATGCAAGGCTAGTGTTCTTCTTGTTATCACCTACACCCACACCAACACACTCAATCTTACATCCACGCTCCACCTACCCCAAAATGGATTTTCATCAAAACTATTCTTCAAATTTTTTAGTATTTTGTAAAAAAAATAGATATATTCTGATTGTGTTTAGCCGATATTGGTATACGAAACGAGTAATGTCATTCACATATCTAAAGATTCAGAAATTATTTCAAAGGGAAATTTGTAAAGGCAATTCAACTATCTTATGTTGAGATCCATGAATTCGATGTCAATATAGATGTCATCGAAATTCAATTAGTATCGCGTTGAGCACGAGTTATAAGTAGCAACAATATGAACTAACAATTCAAAAATACATCATCTATCAGAAGACTATGTAAAGTAAACAATAATAGAAAACTTTTTTTGCATAATCGAGCCTACACACGCCTTGATTTGTCCCAGTTTGAGCCTACTCAAGCCTAATGGCTCCGCCGCCTATGAATCGAACCAGTTTATAATTGTTATGAACCAATGGCTCATTCAACTGGTGACATTGTCCGATGTATTCTACTTCAACCCACATTTTTATTTCAAATTCTTTTCATTTAATATCTTAACTTTTCTATAGAAATCCGAATCAAGTGATCAAGATATTTCCTCCAGTGTTGATTGGATATTCGACAAAAATGTATTCGAATCAATGTTTAATACTCGTGTAAATCCTATTATACTAAATATACCAAATAGTCCCTTAGAAAAGTATGTGGCTACTTCATTTGAAAAAAAATTATGAACAAAATGTTTTTAGGTTTTTACACGTGAAGAACTTGAACATATTACAAGTTTATGTCAACAATATAATGTTTTTATTTTTTTGTTTTTAATTTTGCGATAACTGGCGACCCTAGGGGTTCTAGCAGTACAAATATACTACCAGATAGCAAGATATTATATAATTGTGTAAAGAGAGAAAGGCGAAGTGGGAGGAGAAAAGTAATAAATAAAATATATCGTTCTTTTTTTTCCTTTTTAGCTACAAAAATATTAAACGATTAAAAGGAAAGTAATGCTCGGCATAAAAGAACACATAAAATGAGTTAAAAGAAAATCTTTCTTTGTGTCAGTTTTACTTCTTCTAGAACTGGAATATCCAGTGTTACAAGGAAAAATAGGTAGATTAAAACAAACAAATACATTCAGGTAAAGGAAAAAAGAGAAAAGAAAAAAAATACATCAATATATAAATAAAAAGAAAAAAACGTATAAAGACTAACGAAGCACGACAGAAAAGACGACTAGGAACTACACGGAAAGAGAGAGAAAAGAATACTACAGAAAAGTTTCTTGAAAGACACATAATGCCGTTATTTCTTCGAGGGTATAGTTAGGGATAGAATCGTTAGTGTTGTTGCTTGCGCACCAAGTTAAACATTTTTCTAGAATACTACTATGCTTAATGCATCTTTTAGATCTAGAAAGCCCACAAATTGAATTTTCTTTATTGAACCACGCATCTCTATGGATATTTAGGTCTGCTTGTTCAAGGAGAAAGTTGCCATCTGTAGAACCAGATAACGAAATTAGATATTTATTCCAGTATTTGAGGCACCGATCCTCTAGGAATATTTCATTATATAGGTACGAGAAAAGGTTGTCGGGCCAATGTGAAGAAAAGAGTATTTTTTTAAAACAAGTATAATAAAAATGGTTATGGTCTTGTTGTTGGAATTCGATGAAGAGTGAATAGAGGGTAAAGAGCCAGGTAAATAATGGGAGAACGTATGAAAGAAAAAGCGCTTTGCTTAAGTCTGGAGATGTAGAACCTGCAATGTGGATTGATTTTATCATTCCTATGCGCTGTCTGATTTTCAACATAAACTTACTGATTAATGTACGAAATCCTAATTTTGGTGTAATCCAGTAGCCTAGATATTTAAATTCTTTCACCCATCGTATTTTCTTGTCACCAGAAAAAATATTGAATTTAGGAGGACCGATTGCTCTTGCCGACCAAAGAGCTTCGGTTTTGGTATAATTGATAGGCTGAAAATTTAGGATAGAATAGAATTCGAGATTATCGAAGAAGGTCTAGATTTTCTTTTCAAGGTCGAGACATTGAGCGAAATATTTTATTTCTATATTACCAGCGAGAATGGCAGCTAGATCATCAGCAAAAAAGTGACTGAGGCATGGGCTGAGAAAGTCGCCCATGTCGGCGTGGTAAGTGATAAATAACGTAGGTGAGAAGATGGATCCTTGAGAGCAACCTTTTGATATGTTAAATCAACGGGACTTGCTTCCCACTATTTCGATATAGGCTCTGCACCCATGTAACCAGCTATCAATCCAACGAAGATAGGCTTTTGGCAGGTCCATGCGTTTTAACTTACCTAAACAGCCTTCTCGCCAAAGTTGTTCAAACCTGCTTTGAAGTCTCCAAAGAAAGTCGCTACAGATGAGCTATTCGCCATTAAACTTGCAACTTGTTCACAGAACAAAAGCACAGGTGTTTGAAGTCTGAATTCAGCTCGAAATCCAGATTGTGTATTTGATAGAGTACCTTGACGTTTCGCAACGTCAGTGAATCAGGCAAGAAAAAGTTTCTCGTTAATTTTAAGAAATACATCTAGGAGTGAGATTGGACGTGTTTTCGAGGGATTACACAAGGACTCTTTTTTTGCTAAAAGAATACTAGTATCTTTCCATTGTTGGGGAAAGATCTTACGTGAGCATGTTCAATTAAATATTTTAGCTAGTAATGATCAGTATGATGGTGGTAATGCGTTAAACATGGAACTTGAGAAGCCATGTGCATCGCGTGACCTTTTTTCTTGCAACTGCATACTATATCGAGAATTTCATCAACAGATGCAGGTGGAATTTCCTCATCAAGATTTTCCGATTTTACTTCGGCAGCATCCGTGTATGGATGAGGGTGGTAGATATTATCAGGGGCTTTGAAGAAGTCTTCGTGGTAATCAGCAGTAACCTCACACATTTTCTCAGGTG